TTCTCAGTACTTAGCCCACTGTCCTGTATTGTTCTCAATACTTAGCCCACTGTCCTGTATTGTTCCTGATACTTAGCCCCACTGTCCCGTATTGTTCTCAATACTTAGCCCCACTGTCCTGTATTGTTCCCGATACTTAGCCCACTGTCCTGTATTGTTCTCGATACTTAGCCCCACTGTCCTGTATTGTTCTCGATACTTAGCTCCACTGTCCTGTATTGTTCTCGATACTTAGCCCACTGTCCTGTATTGTTCTCGATACTTAGCCCACTGTCCTGTATTGTTCTCGATACTTAGCCCCACTGTCCTGTATTGTTCTCGATACTTAGCCCCACTGTCCTGTATTGTTCCCGATACTTAGCCCACTGTCCTGTATTGTTCTCGATACTTAGCCCCACTGTCCTGTATTGTTCCCAAAACTTAGCCCACTGTCCTGTATTGTTCCCGATACTTAGCCCACTGTCCTGTATTGTTCCCAATACTTAGCCCACTGTCCTGTATTGTTCCCAAAACTTAGCCCACTGTCCTGTATTGTTCCCGATACTTAGCCCACTGTCCTGTATTGTTCCCAATACTTAGCCCACTGTCCTGTATTGTTCTCAATACTTTGCCCACTGTCCTGTATTGTTACCAATACTTAGCCCACTGTCCTGTATTGCTCCTGATACTTAGCCCCACTGCCCTGTATTGTTCCCAATACTTAGCCCACTGTCCTGTATTGTTCCAGATACTTAGCCCCACTGTCCTGTATTGTTCTCAATACTTAGCCCCACTGTCCTGTATTGTTCTCAATACTTAGCCCACTGTCCTGTATTGTTCCCGATACTTAGCCCACTGTCCTGTATTGTTCCTGATACTTAGCCCCACTGTCCTGTATTGTTCTCAATACTTAGCCCCACTGTCCTGTATTGTTCTCAATACTTAGCCCACTGTCCTGTATTGTTCCCGATACTTAGCCCACTGTCCTGTATTGTTCCTGATACTTAGCCTCACTGTCCTGTATTGTTCTCAATACTTAGCCCCACTGTCCTGTATTGTTCCCAAAACTTAGCCCACTGTCCTGTATTGTTCCCGATACTTAGCCCCACTGTCCTGTATTGTTCCTGATACTTAGCCCACTGGGCTGGTAAAGTAGGTATTTCTTGACAATCATAACCGCTTGATTCCTATATACTGTAAGTTTAATTAAGGAGTCTCCTATCTCTGTTGTTATCTACCTCCTTTCTAAAAGAACTCCACATTCAGAGATATGTCAATTTTGTAAGAGAAAAGTCATATGACATAAGAATATCATTTTAACCATTTTAACAGATGAGATATTTTGTGATAGATCAACAATTCTTGGAGAACATTTAAAGATTTTACTGGGGCTCATGAGCTCTGACATTTATGAGGAAAGAGCAGAACTTCAATATATCTACATTATGACTCGCTTCTAAATAGAATGGTTTCAGCTAAGTTGACCTTGGTCAAGGTTATTTAGAGGGACAAGTATGTCGGTGTGTTCCGTAATTGTGTGCGAAAGTAATCGTTAAAACTGATTCTGTCAAGTAAAACGTGACTTCATCAGGTCTGAATTAGAGATAATGCCCAAGCGGTTTTTTAGGGATTTGATTGCCGTGTTGTGGACCTCCATGAATCTTATGCAGTTTGTATGTTTGGAATTACATGTCATTTTGATTTGATAAACATTTTACTAAATGTTGTGTGACTTCATCAAAACCACGTTAGCCTTGGGCATTTAACTGAACCTTTTCACTAATTAGTAATTAGCTTATTTATGTTGTGGCAAAGTGGAGATATACTCCTGGTTGAAATACCAGAGTTTAATTTGGGATAATGTCACTACTGCTGTGGAAAACTTATTGCAGTTTGCGTAATTTTTATGTCAAGTGAGACCTGCACAGTCTGGTTTTAGGACAGAATTTCCATTATGAATAAATCATAATTTAGCTGTTTAAAAACATTTTTTAATGAATCATCTTCGCATATTTAATAAAAAAGATAAAAGTACGTATTGCAGAAGAAAGTGCTTAAAACCTGCTCTGGATTTGTCACTTTTGATATTTTCTAAAAAAAATGGATAATATAAACATAGTAGTTTAGGCACAATCAGTTTGTTTTAAACAAAATGGCACAATGATAAATATAATGATAATTTAAACATTGTATACAAACAACATACAGAAACCACCATCAATGTATTCATACTTTAGTCCAATATTTTCAGTGTGAAAATTGCCAAAATAAGATAACAGCTTATTTATTTTTATTATACATTAACCATATATTTCATTAGGTCAATCAGCAAGCATTACAGCTGAAGGGTTAAAGTGAAGGGTGAAGGTTGAAAGGCTGGAGGTTAAACTGGACAGCTGAAGGGTTAAAGTGAAGGGTGAAGGTTGAAAGGCTGGAGGTTAAACTGGACAGCTGAAGGGTTAAAGTGAAGGGTGAAGGTTGAAAGGCTGGAGGTTAAACTGGACAGCTGAAGGGTTAAAGTGAAGGGTGAAGGTTGAAAGGCTGGAGGTTAAACTGAACAGCTGAAGGGTTAAAGTGAAGGGTGAAGGTTGAAAGGCTGGAGGTTAAACTGGACAGCTGAAGGGTTAAAGTGAAGGGTGAAGGTTGAAAGGCTGGAGGTTAAACTGGACAGCTGAAGGGTTAAAGTGAAGGGTGAAGGTTGAAAGGCTGGAGGTTAAACTGGACAGCTGAAGGGTTAAAGTGAAAGGCTGGCGGTTAACCTGAACAGCTGAAGGGTTAAAGTGAAGGGTGAAGGTTGAAAGGCTGGAGGTTAAACTGGACAGCTGAAGGGTTAAAGTGAAGGGTGAAGGTTGAAAGGCTGGAGGTTAAACTGGACAGCTGAAGGGTTAAAGTGAAAGGCTGGAGGTTAAACTGGACAGCTGAAGGGTTAAAGTGAAAGGCTGGCGGTTAACCTGAACAGCTGAAGGGTTAAAGTGAAAGGCTTGAGGTTAACCTGAACAGTTGAAGGGTTAAAGTGAAAGGCTTGAGGTTAACCTCAACAGCTGAAGGGTTAAAGTGAAAGGCTGAATGTTAACCTCAACAGCTGAAGGGTTAAAGTGAAAGACTGGAGTTAACCTGAAAAGCTGAAGAGTTAAAGTGAAAGGCTGGAGGTTAACCTGAACAGCTGAAGGGTTAAAGTGAAAGGCTGGCGGTTAACCTGAACAGCTGAAAGGTTAAAGTGAAAGGCTTGAGATTAACCTGAACAGTTGAATGGGTCAGGTGAAGGAGATCCTGGATGAAACTTTTTGACTTTATTCCATTTTATTTTGGATTGAAAAGGTAGGATTTGGTTTTGAGATGGGGAAAGGTATAGTAGGGGGATGGGAAAAAGACAGAAGTGATGTTGTGTTTGTCCTGACTATACATGTGTAGCCAGTCTCTGTTGTGTCAGTAAACTTTATACATTGATCAAGAATTCTACGGTTTCATCAGTTACTACCAATAAATCTCACACATTAGATTAGAAAAGGCATATTTTTACAGAATTTAGAAAAAAGGCAAGAGAATGATTCAAAATATTACAAGAAAAAGCCATTGGTTGTTGCTATGTTGGGTTATATAGATAAATCATTGTTAACTGCAGACTGGCAGGAGGGGATAATTGTACAGAGGAGCTGAGAGCTATGAGAGAAACCAGAACATGTATATATGTAGGCAAACATGTTAGGGGTTCCTGTCTGTACAATTAGTTAGTATTGTGTATACAACATGATGGATAAGGAACGCTTTCATCGCGTCAGTCCTGAAATGATCACGATTTTTAGCCACATAACAATGACACAGTGTGTGAAATTTTTATGTTGTATCTAGTGTACTCTGAGATAGAACAGTTATTAAACAGAATTTTATTTTCCAAAAGTCAAATTCGAAAAAAAAAAAAATTCTATAAAAATTCCAATAATTTTATTGTTGATCTTTCCACTGGTTGAATCCTACCATCACTGCCCCAATTTTTTTAAGTCATGATTCAAACTTCTACAAGAATTGGTATATATGATTGTACTGATCACATTTCCATGTTTATTAAGAAATATGCTTATTGTAGTTCAATATCATTTTACTATTGCATGCTTCTTAACTTTTTATAATTCAAGCTCATAATTTTGTTTTGATGTTTCATACTTCAAGGAAAAATAAATCCAGCCGGCGTAACATTTTTGTTAATTCTAGCTACAGATCTTGAATCATTTTCATGTTAATTAAACTCTTAATTTCTTTGACTTGTGGCTTTTATTGTTGATCTGTGTCTTAAAAGATTTAAAACAACATGCTCAATTGTTATTGATTTTGCCTGATGCTCACACACAAACACACACACACACCTACGCAGTCTGACAAATGTTTAGATTACAAAAGCTGAAACTGCACTACTGAAATATTTATGTTCATTATAGATTAGGGTTCAAATTGCAATAATGTTTTTTTAACAATGATCACATTTAAAATCTTTCCAAATACCATCTTGTCACCTCTCATCAAAATATGCCCCCCCCTCCCACCTTTTAATCTTTACTGCTACCTGTAAAAGTGCTTTTATTTTGACAAGTGAAATAGCACCTCTATATTACAGTTCTAGCCAACTTATTTATACAAGATTCTTTTAACACTTGCAAATTTGAGTGTTGCATGATAGAAAAACAGTTTTGAATCATTGAGTGAAAATTTTGAAACCTAGCCAGCATTAGGATAAAAGAAAAAAAGAAACCGAAATGTTTGATATGGTAAGAGATGTTACTAAATGTAATTTAAATAAAAACATTGATCAACATTCATGTATCAACTTATCTAATTTCAAATATTAGATATTTTTCTCTGTCAAATGAAAAAAGAAAAGTGAAAAAGTTGCATTTGTTAAAAGTCTTACCTGGCACAGACAATGAAAAATTTGTAAATTTCAACCAATGGTAAATTCCAGTGGAGAAGAATTTTGTAAATATGAATCCTAGAGTAACATGCTGTGTATACTAAACGTAAAAACAGACCTGGTCTCCTTCCTTTGGATAGTAATGGATCCAGGTCTCCTTACTTCCGGTCCGTAACAGATGTTATGTATTCCCAAAAGTCACTCCCTTACATGGGATGACCAGTTATTGGTGTGAAGTACAACTCCTGTGGTCAGGCGGTCAATTATTGATTAAAATGACCACTGCTTTAGAAGCAGATTGGAAACTATCAAAGACACCATCACTGTATCACATCAGTAGCTTATAAAAGGCACAGTGAAATCAGATGTGGCAATACCTATGTCATAGATCTACTCTTCACCAGGATTAGGCTGGTGTGATCACTGGCTTATTAAACTCAAACATTTTTTTTGTGTTGTTAGCAAAAAATAAAACCTAAAATGAAATTATTGTTTTGAAATCTTCAGTGTGTAGTTATGCCTTTTGTTTAGATTTTTTTTCTGTGGAAAAATAACCATTTTTTTTTTTGATACACATAGTGTCTGTTAGTGGAAGACTTAACTCACTTTTATGAATGCTAAATGTTTGATATCTAATATATATATAATATATATATATACTTTTTAAACATTGAATCACCTAAATATCAATGACCCAGAAAGTATTCTCAATATTTAATCAATTTTCCTTTTTCCTGGGTGCTGGTGTATAAAGTGTTGTAATATTACAAACTAACGTTTTCTTATATTTATCAGCATTATTCATGATCTTCATCACCTTTCAAAAGAATTTGTATGTTATTCAGTCACTATATCTGATTTTTCTTTGTCATTTTTCCAAATATTGTCAACTTAAGATTTTTGTATTACCTAAATCAGTAAATTTTTGTAGATATATGCCTTTCATTTTCTACGATTAAAACTCAATACTTATAGGCACAAGGTCATATCCATCAGTAAGCTCCATCAGTAAGCTCTAAGAGAGCCTCAATCAACTGGCATAAGCTCCAGTAACATATTAGATAATTAAACAAGCTCTATTCAAGTTGTGCCATGATAGAATGAGCTCTTTGAAATATATTCCAGGTACAGTAAGCACTCTGCCATCAAGTTTTTATCAATAGATTAGGAATTCCATGGAATATATCCTTCGTTATGTGTAAACACTTGGCTTAATTTGTCAATGAAGTTTGGTGTTAATCCTACATTGACATTCAGTAATCCAAGAAAGGCATCCACTAACACACCAGTACAGGTAGACGGTCAGTAAAATCCTAAACCACTAACACACCAGTACAGGTAGATGGTCAGTATAATCCTAAACCACTAACACACCAGTACAGGTAGACGGTCAGTATAATCCTAAACCACTAACACACCAGTACAGGTAGACGGTCAGTAAAATCCTAAACCACTAACACACCAGTACAGGTAGACGGTCAGTATAATCCTAAACCACTAACACACCAGTACAGGTAGACGGTCAGTATAATCCTAAACCACTAACACACCAGTACAGGTAGACGGTCAGTATAATCCTAAACCACTAACACACCAGTACAGGTAGACGGTCAGTATAATCCTAAACCACTAACACACCAGTACAGGTAGACGGTCAGTAAAATCCTAAACCACTAACACACCAGTACAGGTAGACGGTCAGTAAAATCCTAAACCACTAACACACCAGTACAGGTAGACGGTCAGTATAATCCTTAACCACTAACACACCAGTACAGGTAGACGGTCAGTAAAATCCTAAACCACTAACATACCAGTACAGGTAGACGGTCAGTATAATCCTGGAAGAATGATTGACCACTGGTATAAAAAGTCCAGGTAGACGGTCAGTATAATCCTAAACTACCAACATACCAGTACAGATAGATGGTCAGTATAATCCTAGAAGAATGATTGACCACCGGTATAAAAAGTCCAGGTAGATGGTCAGTATAATCCTGGAAGAATGACTGACCACTGATATAAAAAGTCCAGGTAGATGGTCAGTATTACCCTAGAAGACTGCCCATTTCTATAACAATTGATTAAGTACAGGTATATTGAGAAGGCACACTGGTACTGTAGAGAATGCTGGCATACTGTTAGTAGTACAGAAAGCTGACACAAGATGGTAAGTTTTTACATCAGCTCTAATTGATATGTACATCTCCAGTGGAGAGAGTAGGTAGGAAACCATACTAGTACAGGAATGGGTCACATTATCAGTGGGAGGGTCGAACATCGTACTCAGGTGCTCCTCCTTTACATGTAAAACCTCAGACTGCTGCTGGCTTTAGGATGGAGTCAGTAACCAATAGTGTACATGATCTAAAGACATATTACTTGTGAGGCGGTAGTTATTATTCCACATGGTTAAACAAAAGTTTTTATTGTAGCCAATTGATTCCTGCTGCTAGCTTTGTGTATCAAGTGATGGATTTGGACAGGCAGAATCTGGATTGAGCTCTTACAATAGGATAGGTCTGGGGTAATGACTGACAAACTAGACAGAAAGGGTCTTATGCAAGGTTTATAAAGGTGTGGGATTTAGACTGGCAAAATAGACAGGAGGGTTATATACTGTTATAGGCAAAATAGACAATAGGGTTATATACTGTTATAGGCAAAATAGACAGGAGGGTTATATACTGTTATAGGCAAAATAGACAGGAGGGTTATACTGTTATAGGCAAAATAGACAATAGGGTTATATACTGTTATAGGCAAAATAGACAGGAGGGTTATATACTGTTATAGGCAAAATAGACAGGAGGGTTATATACTGTTATAGGCAAAATAGACAGGAGGGTTATATACTGTTATAGACAAAATAGACAGCAGGGTTATATACTGTTGTAGGCAAAATAGACAGGGGGCTTAACTAGGAGGGGTCTTATATTCTGTTATAGGCAAAATAGACAGGAGGGGACTTAAATACTGTCATAGGCAAAATAGACAGGAAGGGACTTAAATACTGTCATAGGTAAAATAGACAGGAGGGGACTTATATACTGTTATAGGTAAAATAGACAGAACGGAGCTCAATACACAGTATGTTCATCTGCTAGGTTTATCAACTCGAGCATGAATAGCCTGAGACAGGGTACCGTTGTATGAGGAGCTGGTGGCTACTTTACTGAAAATCATACAGAGGTATCGTCAGATGCTATCAGGAACCAATTAGGTATCTTTAACTATGACTACACTACAACAGCACAGGCTGACCCTTCATCTGAGCTTTATAAAAAACACAAATCTGATGTTGGTTGAGTTTTAACCAATTACCATGTATTTTTACCTGTGGTTGCTACCCATTATAGAAAGGTGTGAGCCAAGGTTTGAAAAAGCATAATACAGATAAAGGACTATTGAGGAAGAGTTTTAGGATTCTAAAAAGTCTGTTTGATTGGGAATTTATAGAAACGAATAATATAGACCAGTATTAAGAGTATATTGACTGTAGTATTGGGAGAGAGTATATAGACTGTAGTATTGGGAGAGAGTATATAGACTGTAGTATTGGGAGAGAGTATATAGACTGTAGTATTGGGAGAGAGTATATAGACTGTAGTATTGGGAGAGAGTATATAGACTGTAGTATTGGGAGAGAGTATATAGACTGTAGTATTGGGAGAGAGTATATAGACTGTACTATTGGGAGAGAGTATATAGACTGTACTACTGGGAGAGAGTATATAGACTGTAGTACTGGGAGAGAGTATATAGACTGTAGTACTGGGAGAGAGTATATAGACTGTAGTACTGGGAGAGAGTATATAGACTGTAGTATTGGGAGAGAGTATATAGACTGTACTACTGGGAGAGAGTATATAGACTGTACTATTGGGAGAGAGTATATAGACTGTACTACTGGGAGAGTGCATATAGACTGTAGTATTGGGAGAGAGTATATAGACTGTACTACTGGGAGAGTGCATATAGACTGTAGTATTGGGAGAGAATATATAGACTGTAGTATTGGGAGAGAGTATATAGACTGTAGTATTGGGATAGAGTATATAGACTGTACTACTGGGAGAGAGTATATAGACTGTACTATTGGGAGAGAGTATATAGACTGTACTATTGGGAGAGAGTATATAGACTGTACTATTGGGAGAGAGTATATAGACTGTAGTATTGGGAGAGAGTATATAGACTGTACTACTGGGAGAGAGTATATAGACTGTACTATTGGGAGAGAGTATATAGACTGTAGTATTGGGAGAGAGTATATAGACTGTACTACTGGGAGAGTGCATATAGACTGAACTATTGGTAGAGAGTATATAGACTGTACTATTGGGAGAGAGTATATAGATTGTACTATTGGGAGAGAGTATATAGACTGTACTACTGGGAGAGTGCATATAGACTGTAGTATTGGGAGAGAGTATATAGACTGTACCACTGGGAGAGTGCATATAGACTGTAGTATTGGGAGAGAATATATAGACTGTAGTATTGGGAGAGAGTATATAGACTGTAGTATTGGGAGAGAGTATATAGACTGTAGTATTGGGAGAGAGTATATAGACTGTAGTACTGGGAGAGAGTATATAGACTGTACTACTGGGAGAGAGTATATAGACTGTAGTATTGGGAGAGAGTATATAGACTTTAGTATTGGGAGAGAGTATATAGACTTTAGTATTGGGAGAGAGTATATAGACTGTAGTATTGGGAGAGAGTATATAGACTGTAGTATTGGGAGAGAGTATATAGACTGTAGGATTGGGAGAGAGTATATAGACTGAACTATTGGGAGAGAACATATAGACTGTACTATTGGTAGAGAGTATATAGACTGTACTATTGGGAGAGAGTATATAGACTGTAGTATTGGGAGAGAGTATATAGACTGTAGTATTTGGAGAGAGTATATAGACTGTACTATTGGTAGAGAGTATATAGACTGTACTATTGGGAGAGAGTATATAGACTGAACTATTGGTAGAGAGTATATAGACTGTACTATTGGGAGAGAGTATATAGACTGAACTATTGGTAGAGAGTATATAGACTGTAGTATTGGGAGAGAGTATATAGACTGTAGTATTGGGAGAGAGTATATAGACTGTAGGATTGGGAGAGAGCATATAGACTGTATTATTGAGACAGAGCATATAGACTGTAGGATTGGGAGAGAGCATAAA